CAAGCAGTAAAATACTTGTTTACTTGAATTCTAATGAAACTAAAGAGTGCTCGGGGGTGATGAGATCCCCTTGTTAATAAAACTTGTTAGGAAAGGAAACAGACGAATATGAGGTTACACATTCACTTTCCGAAATGTGCAGTTTCCGTAAGGGATTTCCTTTTAGGGATAACTCCATAGAAGTATATACCGGTACATGTAGATCAAAGATGTACAGAATGTTCTCTATATCCTACCTCTACAATGTAGGTGGAGAGAAATGGGGGGGGGGAGAGAAAAATGGAAGCATAATGGAATAAATTAATGGCTTGTCATTTCATGAAGGGAATTGGAACAAAATTAGCAAAGGGTTTACACAATTTTCCAAATGGTGAACGTATTTACACTGGATAAATCCTGATCGAGCTTCAGTTAGTTGCGACCAAGCAAAACAGCCGAAGGTTAAAGAGGTTAGTTGCATACTTACAATAGAGTTTTGGAATTTTTATCCAAACTAAATAAACCAGAAATTCCAAAAACACATCACATACTGACTTTCCATGAGACCTAAACAAGGATTTAGTGTCGTGTTCAAAAGGTACACTTGGTCCTATTGCTCAAACTTTGGAAATTCAGGACGAAGAACTACACGCTTTTCAGGGATAAATCCACAGAGCTATATAAGCCTATAGTTAAAACGTACAGAATTTCCTCAATATTTAGGCCTGTAGGTGGCAAGAAATGGGCAACCCCCCCAAAAAAAAACAAAAGAAAGAAAAGAGATGACAAATGAGAATGTATTTTGGTATAATTTAATGGCTTGTCATTTCGTTAAGAGAATTGGAATAAATAGCAATTGGTTCATTGCATTTTCTGAAAGGTGCACGTATATTACCACTATTTATAAAAAGCCTGGAAATCCCCGATCGGGCTAAAGGTTGAGATCAAGCCAAACAGTCGGAGGTATTTTGGGTCAAGACATACTTTTCATGGAATTTTTGAATTTGCCTTTACATTAAACAAACTGGGAACCCCCAACACAACACATGCTGACTTTCTATGAAGAGAACTAAATAATTGATTTAGTGTCATGTTCAAAAGGTGGTTATTCTCATTGTCCAACCTGTGGGCATTCGGGACTGTTGAGACTTTCATATGCAGCAAGGTATGAGACGGAGAGAGAACCCCCCTGCTTTGTGTTGGTAATTGTCTCGCGGGAATCTGGGGAATTCCTTTCAGACATATTGGGGGAATGTGTTAAGTAACAATAGTCTGGAATGTGTATAGGGATTGACATGTTGGGGGGGTACCCCTCGGTCTCATTTCTTGCTGGGTATAGAGACTTTAGCTGCCCAGTATTATACTACAAGGAATGCGGGTTGACTCACACTCACAGGAAACACTTGTCAAAAAGGATACTAAAAGGTGATACAATAATCTCAAACTAATACATCATATCAACAATAACCTTCACACATTGAATCAAAATCCGGTCTATGGTTCAAAATTTTGGTTTGCTGAAATCAAGAATAACTATCCTCCTTTTAGGAATAAAACCATACACTTAGTTGAAACGCAGACAGAATTTCCTGTCGGTGGGAATAAATGAGCCACTAAGAAAAGGAAAGAAAAGAAAGGGAGAAGAAAATAAGAAAGCACAGTGACAAACATAAATGGTTGGTCATTTCATTAAGTGCATTGGAACAAAATAGCAAAACGTGTAGGGCAGTTTTTGAAAGATGTACGACGTCGTATTGCCGCTTTGACAACCCGGAAATTCCCGATCGAGCTTCAGGTTGGCTGCGACCAAACAAAACAGCTAGCTAAAGGTTTTCAGGGCCAAGACATATCCTTTGAAATTTCCCCTACACTAAACAAACTACAGACTGGAAATTCCTAACATAGCACATACTGACTTTCCATAAAGAGAACAGAACATTGCTTTAGTGTCATGTCCAAAAGGTACAGTTATTCCTATTGCTTAACCTGTGGACATTCAGGACTGTTGAGGTTTAGCTGCCCAGGACTACACAAAGTGTGTATTGATGCAGTTTCTCATTTATTTCTCTCATAAGAACAGCACCAATTACAGAAAAAAGGGGGGAGGGGGGAAGAGAGAGAAAACTTGTCATGTTGACAAGATAAAACTTATTTACCTAAGTGTCTGAATCAACAAGAATTCACATGCCAAAGAGGAAACTTGTTCAGTGCATTCAAGAGCTTCTGGGGAAAAAGCTCGCTCCAGTAGCTTTCCGGCGCACACCTCTTGCCACTCGACCACCAAGCTAGTCGTAAAAAGATGGTCCAAATCTATAGCTCAACTATTGATTGGATTTGGATCCCTCCCTGATTAATTCTACCGACAAGTGCAGTTCTCACCTTGACCGGAACCCACGCATTGACCGTTTTCAGAGTGCTTTTGATAAAAGAATAGCTCAATCAATTACTTCAGGTGATTTGATATTATATACCAATCAGATTTCTCACTTATTTTCTCTGTCAATTACTCTTGTCTGGGAACTCTATATACAGTTGGATGAAAATCCAACAGGATTATTCACGTTCAGGCAAATGTATCAGGAGGGGAATGTTTTGAGTAACTGTGGACGCTAATTCCATTATAGGCCCGATTGGCAGTTCAACACATTTTAACCCTACCCCCCTAGGGTGTATGTAAAATCATAATGAGATTGGAGGATTTGGGACTGTTAGGGTTAATCTGCATTTCAAGCGGCTGTTAAGGCTGGGCACTGTTTTAGTATTGAACCCGGAAATAGTATTCGAGTAACATCGAGTTTCTGTCTGACAGTTGGGCAATGTGATGATGTATCACGTAATAAAATGCTACCTTTGTAAGATAAATGTATTTACGCTTGTTTTACTATCGCAGATTCCCAGAGAATCAACTATTTTGAGAGTTTTAAGCGATTTCCTCCTTCAAGGTAAAGCGCTAGTAAATCTTAAGGCTCGGCGTGATTTTGCAAGAGTTGAATATTACGTTAAGTATTACCTTGCTTCCCATGATACTGAGGGTCATGGGAAGCAACGTAATACTTTTTGCCAACTTAATAAAATGTTATGTTATGACCCCATTTTTTCAAACACAACGAAATGGAGTAGTGCTGAATTCCAATGCCGGATTACCTCTCGACAAACTTCATGATGCTGGGTGCAAAGCACACTGTAGTCTCCCGATTGTATAGTAGTCACAAACAAACACCCACTCACCAACCTGAACCTAGAGTTCATGCACACCGGGACGTGCCATGTGTCACGTATGCACAGGCCCCATAGAGCTACAAGTGCGCATGCGCCTTTCATTTTTAAGCAGAAAACAGCGGGTACATCCTGTAATACCAAAATGAAGCAGAAAAAAAAGATTTTCACAGCAATCAAGGCTTGACACTACAAACAACACACATAATAGTGAATATCAGAAGTGTATAAAAAAGTGAATTTTCTACCAACAAAATAATTCAAAATTGCAAAAATATCTACGTGTTTCATGAATTAATTTTTAATTGAAAATAACTTTTGTGAGAAGAAAATCCCTGCCCCAAATAAATATCCACCTCAGCGCATTAATTTCATGCATTTATGTTAAATCCGCTGGATAAAAGTTAATAATAATGTCCTATCGAATCGCCGAGACTCTGTACTGTTCTAACAGCGCACGTCAATTCAAAACCATACCAAAATGGTATAGTGACTGGGATCATGAAATTTCTGCCAAAGGTATACCATTTCTTTCAGGATTGATACTACCGGTATTCGACAACACAGAATTGTTAGTTGCAGACATTTCTTGTTCACCACTTTCATGGCTACAGGTGCTGTACAGTACCCTGACGTTGTAGTTGACGAATCCAACACAGCACAGGTTCATGTACAAACATGTACATGATTATGTTCATCCTAAATGTACATACACATTATGTTCGTGTTAACTCACGGCAGCAGTGTAGCCAGGATTCGGGGGGGGGCAAGCCGGGCCGGCTTCACGCTAAGGGGGGGGGCTGACTGGCGGCTGATTTGGATTTTGCAATTTGTATTGGCCTAACCAATAATGGCGTCCAAAATGCAAGGGGGGGCAACTGGGGAAGACAATTTTTCATGGGAGGGTCCTTGGGGGCGTGTCCCCCCACCCTTAGCCGTACGGTATTTAAAAGCCTGCCGTTACAAGAGCATGGTACAAAGTTATCTTCATATTTATCAAACCTTCGGCAAAGCAATAGCTCTGCACTGGGAGAATATGGCATTATTTCTGCATAAAATAACAATAAATGATACGTGACGGATTTGGCCTTCATAAAATGTCCTTATTCACACGGTTTGGGGCGAAAATTTTGGCTAACTTCAAACTCATTTGCAGAATCTTTACACGATGCATCCCATTTTTTGGCTTGCAATCATTCAGACACTCTTTGTCTTTCAGTAAATCTGCCCTTTATAACCAGGAAAAAAAAAGAAAATTTTCAAATTTAGAAGCACCCAATTTCTTGAAGTGGGAAAAATTGGGGGCTGGTTTAAAAATATGTTTCTAGTACATTTTCTGATGCAGGGCACAAAATCAATGCCACTGAAACATAATATACTTCATGAGTTTTGGATTTAACATTAAATATTTCATTGGTTTTGCTCAATTTCATAAAAATTCATTGCCAAATTTTTAGATCCCTTTAGGATCAAAGCACGCGAAATTAGAAACCGCCTGTTGCTATGGTGTTAATAAGCACAGGTCTTGCGCACGAGTACATTGGTAATAAACATCAGGAACAAACGGAGCTTTGAATGTGGGCGGTCCAAACAGCGTCCCTTTGGGTGATTGGTTATTTCATTTGCACTTAAAAATCCTAAAGGTGGTTTTATGCATTGAAAAAATGCAAAGGTTCTCTGCGCAGCAGTCGTTCAGGTAATGGTGACAGATTAATGTTTCAACGGTGATCTCATGAAGTTGCTCTTACCATCGTTCTTTTGAACATTCATCATGTGCATACTGTATCACGCCCACAAAACCATAACGAACATTGTGTTAGCGTTCAGTCGGGTACAGTTCTTCGATGTGAGCGATTCACACCACATATTGTGACACTCCGCTGTGCCAGGTATCGATTACAGTTGCTTTCGCGCGCGATAGATCTTTACGGACACATCACACAATCCTCATGCTTTCAGTACACGTCTGCTCGTTAATTTGCTTTGTTCAGTTCTTCAATACAGCTTCTATATTACTCAAAGATCACATTTTCATATGATTTTAAGTTATTATGTGAAGGACACACAGAGAAAATCTGAAATTCCCACCATTTGGGGCATTTTTTCTACTCTTGTATTTAGAAGAAGCGCTTTCAAAGTAGTGATTGCCAACGTTTTTGCTCCATTTCTCTTCAGTCTGACATTCTTTATTCTTTTTAAATCATTAAACTGAGGAATAGGCCTACACGTCGACATTAATAAACCACTGAATAAGAACGCCAACCACTTATATTTTATTTATTATTGTCAATAAGCTAAATTTTGCTCAGCCATCCTGGTCTGACTGTACTTAAATTAAGTCACGGGTATTTGATTTTACAATTCAACGAATCGGTGATAAAAGATGCGCAGTGTCCTTAATTCTGTTATTCAATTTTAGGACTGAAAAATTCCCAGTGATACATTGACGACTTGCAAGATGAGGGTGAACGTGCGAGTCCGTAATGAATGGCTGCTTGTGCCAGCAAAATCATCCAAACTTACGGTAGATTGGTTAGGGAAGCAAGCCTTGGCCCGTTATCGTACCCTCAAGGATTACGACCAAGAAGAGCAAGATAGCGTGTTGGAGATACGAAAATCGCCAGGAGGGAGTTTGCTGTTTCCAGATGACCACATCGAGGATGTTGTGGAAAACGATGGATTCGTCTACACCGGTAAGTGACAAGAGTAATGATACTCTTTGGTTAGGTCCAGGCCTTCAGTGCATACAGTACATATCTTGGGCGGTCTTACGTCTCAAATATAGCTTCAGCTTACCATTATCCAAGTGCTGGGTCCCCTTCAATTGCAAGCCGATGTAGACGCAATGCGTTTCAAAGGGGGAAGCATTTGGCCGCACCCTCGTCTCGAGGCATGTGCCCCACATGGCCCCTTCTCGGTATTAGAGGAGAAAATCTGCATGGTGATAGTCTCCCTTAATGAAAGTTTCAAACAAATGCCCCTCTAGAAAATGGGGCACCAAGTGCCCTAAATACACCACGCATGTTTTCCATACAATTAGTTTAACTTTAAACATCGGCGTTTTGGTTCGGTTATTGCATTGTGGCATGGTTAAAAGGGGAGGGAAACTTGTAAACCTCTGATAATGTCCCCAAAAGTAGTTCGTATGAACGCTTACGACAAATTTACACGAATGTCTGGCCAATTGTGCCATTTACGTTTGATAAAAATTGTAAATTTAGCAGCGTTGAATGAACGTGTTTTATTTTCAGAACATTACCACGTAGTGAACAAATGAAATATCAACAAGTAATTATTAAAGTGAAGGACTTTAATGATCGCATTTTTCTAAGGTACCGATGTTGAAGTATTTCAATTTTAATGACCACTTATATTTAGGGCATCTCACTTTGACAACTAGAAATTGGCTATTTAACAACAGTTCACTGCTTTGATGCGGAATGTGTCGTTTTTATAACCCGCAGGGTGCATAGGCTGAATCGGGGGTTGGGGGGTTGGAGCACTTTCGATGATGACTTACATGTATATTTGGTCATGCTCTGAAAAGATTAGTCGGTCATCGTGCACCAAAAGTTTGTCAAGTCGAGAAAAATGTTATTCTTTTGAGAATTAACTATTTGTTTTACATCTAAAAGACTAATCGGATGTCCTTTGACTAATCAGTTTTTTAAAGTAATTATCTAATTGCTTAAAAAGACAGATTCAAGTTTTGTTCATTTTGCTGTGTAACAGTAATAAGTACCGATAAGATTTCCTTATCAAGTTTGTCACTACAGTTTTGAAAGATGGATTAAAATGCACATGAGAAATTTAATGATTAATCAGTTGCAAGAATCAGTTGCAAGAGTGCGGTGCCACCGTAGTTATTGCGTCTAATCGGATTTGTCTATAGCTTACTATAAATGTGTAGAGAAAAAAACAAAACACGCGAAATCCCAGCTGCATTTCACGATGCACATCTGTTCAATATATATATACTGTCGAGTTTCATTCACAGACTAGCCTAACGTGTCATGAACGTTATGGTAGCGTAGACTTGTTGGTCTGCCCGTATCACTTCACCGCTCTACGCTCGGATGTCAGTTGGCCGGGACAGGTACGGTGGCGACTTGGTCAGATATAGGGATGAGATACATCGCAGCGCTACTAAATTTGACCTTTTTATTTCTAGAGTGGGCCAAGCCCAATACAAACTTCTTCCAAAATATCGAACTTCGAAATCAGTAGGTTCCCAAAATGTAGGCCTTATTAATGCTCCACCTTGTACTCATAAATATTCATTGTATTTGAATGAAAATCGGATGTTTCAATTGCCATGGTATGTACAGTGTATATAATAGCCGTTCTTAATTCCTGAAATCTGTGTTCTCAAAACGTATAGAACTTGTTAAAGTGAAACACACAATTCCACGTATTTTGTGACAGTTTTGGTTATCACGTGTTGAATTATAAATACAGCACTTTGTTGGGCACTGTTAGTTGACTTTACACATATTAATTACTTGTAATTGTCCATTCACCAGTTTGGTGAAGTTGTGAATTGTTGGCAATTATGTTAATAAAATTGAATTGCAGAGAATGTACAACAAACCGTGAATTACTGACGTCGCAGATTAATTATTAGTGTCACAATAATAATGTAAAGACTGATTAATTTTACTGAATTACAAATTCATTTGGGGGACTAAATTCAAGGGATAATTAGATTTCATGCATTACTAATCGCCAAAAAATAGTCAAATTAAACCTTTTTTGAAGACCAATGATAATTAGTCATCACACCAGCGTAAAGACTAATCGTCTAACTTTGTGACTAATTAAATATTGGTCAGATTATACCACGAAAAGACCTATTTTTTGTCAAGTGACCATGTAATATTTACTGTGTGTTGCTATTGGTTGGTGTGCTTTTCATACCTAAAAATTGTTCAACACAAGTAAAATGAATAATAATTTCGTTTTATAAAAAGGAATAATTATGTTAAATCTCATGATACGATCAGGGCTGTCCGTATTACAAGGTGAATAAGCGTCCGATCACTAGTACTGCTATGCCTACCCGGCCAACGCACTTTGCTGGCCCGTTACAAACAAGAGCACTAAGACCTCAAGTATGAAATTCATAAAAAGGGACAAAACACGCACAGAAATCGTGGCTCAGACTTCGTTTTGTGAATCAACTCACGTAAACATTTGTTAAAGATTTCGACTGTTTACATTTTTTTTGACGTTGTTGGCGAGATCTTCATTTTGCCGCTCGGAAGTTTCCATTTCTCTCACAGGGCCGATTACCTGCGTATTACAGGTATGGCGCGGCAGGTAGCGATTTAAAAAAAAAACACAACATACTGTGGAACGATATGAATAAAGGGTTATCTTAACTTTGGAGGATTTTCTTCAAGGGGAACTAAAATTCGCCATGTAGCGTGTGCTTTGATAAATGAGTACTTACTCTCTATTCAGTCTGATGTATGTTTACCTTTCAGTCGTGTAAAAAGTCACAGGCTACACATTAAAAAATTAAAAAACGCTAGGCTTCCGAAAGTTTGACTCCTTGTGGTTCATAAAAGATCATGGCAGATCTTATGAAGTTGATATTTGCAAAGTAATGACATCATTCACCTTTTGTAGGCTTGCTTAAGTATTTTACATATGGTAAGATAACTGGCATCATCCTAATATGCACAAAAAGCACGGCGGCCATTTGTAAGGCCAAACCATTACCTTACCTTTGCTGATTTACAGCTTACAGTATCCCCAGTATAGGCAGCTTGCAGGTACACGCTACCAGCCATTATGTTCACGAACACGACACAACACAACATGATGAAGGGATTTTCGGTTACCCTTCATAAATAACTCGAGAAAATGGACTGGAAAACGCTTTTCATTGAAAAAATATTCCTAACTAGAGAGAAGCGTTTGTGCACTAAACGAACACTGGGTGATTGGATGAAAAATGCTATTGTGATAAGTGTGATTGTAATAAACGAGGATATTGAAGTTGAAAATTCTGTTTATTGTTGGAATAATGTGAGAGGAAAGCAAGTCATTGACACGTTTAGTGACCACAAAGGAAGTCTGTGGAAACTTGCATTGATGTACAGGTGTATTTCGATGCATTTTCCAACTCGCATGTTTCTACTGCTTCAGCGTTCATTGAGCGGGAGATCGCCTTTGCTATTTAGCACAAATTAAGTCAGACCATTGTGGAGAAAATGCCACCAATTTTCAGGAAAGAAAGTTGCCCTTGAAAATCCATTCAAAAATTCAGATCGATGCTGTTCATCAAAGTGTATATTGTTTGACTATTTTTGTCTTAAGAACTTTAAAAAAGTAGAGTACAGATTTAACGAAAATATCAAAGGAATTTGTACCGTGCCTGTTTAGAGAGGTAGATTGGCCTTTCTTTCCTATAATGACTGGAAAAGTTTTTGAAATTCCACGATTATTCGGTTATGATTTCTTACCCCCCCCACTGGAAACGGAAATCAGAGAGTCTGAAATAATAGTCCCGTCTTTTCATCTTCTTTAGGGTAGTTTTTTCTCCACTTCGTCCTGTACTTTTGTTGAGGAGGTATAATTCCTTCTTTAACTGAATTGGACAGACGCTGCGCACAAAACGCTGCCAAAATAAAGAAGCGGTATCCTTCTTTACAAAAACAAAAAGGGGCATTTAAATTTTGGAATTGGATACTGTATTTTGGATGTATTTTCTTCGTTTTGAGTCAATTTTTCTGAGAAAGCGCCCTCAGGGTGATGCTAAAGGATGTGTTTCACTAAATGGGTAGATTTCTACTCGCGAGCTTACTAGTTTTTGTGATCTACATGGTGCCATCATCGGGAGTGATCGAAGAGATATTTTCATAAATCACGAATTTATTTCAAACAAAAAACATCCAATGGGCCCATTTTGCATAGAGGTGGGCGGCTACATTGAGAGCTGAGAGCATAGTTTCACTTCTATTTTGGGCCCAGTTTTTTCGGCGAAGGGCGAATTTAAAAAAATTCACTTGGCCAAACCCTTGAAATTTGAAAAGACAAGTGAACTTCTGGCCTAATCTGAATTTCCAAAAAAAGCTGGAGGCCAACCTCTCCCTTAGAGTCAACAGATGGCGCTGTTTCTGTCCGAATTTGAACTGTTTTCTTTGGCCGCGTATAATTACAGTGTGTAGTGCGACCGCAAATGACGTGAACCAGATTATGTGAACCCGGCAGTGCAACAGCGCCCTCTAATATTTGTCAGGAACATCATGGAAAATGTAAATGTTTTAAAATTTACTTCTTGATAAGAATAACCAAAAAGATTTCCCCTAAATCTCCAGCTGCTGTTTATGATGCCAGCACATTGGTTGAACAATGATCACCGAGTAATGGTAAAATCATAAATTTATAAAACCACTCTGCATAAGTGCCTTGGAATATTCATGCATTGCCAATTTTCAGTTGACTGATATCCATCCCTTTGACATTTTCCCCTCTAGTTCTTAAGAGTGAAGAGACGACTGATGGCGTGGTCTCCTCATCCACTATGCTTCAAGATGTGTATCCTTTTCCCTTAAATCTTAAGAATAAATGTGGATTTTCAGTATGGATATCTTGTAAACATTTAGATGTTTTGCGTCCGTTTTGTCGCAAGTTTTCTTCTTATACACAATTATTAATAAAAACGTTAAACTCTAAATTTGACAGGTTTTGAGTAATTCCGAATGTTGTATTTTTTGGTGGTTTGTAATGCGGATTTTGTTGAAACAACTTATAGGATGAATTTTGCAATATTTTGTTCCCACGATGTACTTTTTTATTTGTAGCTTTCCGAGCTTAAAGGGAACCTTTATATGTCGTTGTTTGATTTGTGTCAATAAATTTGGGAAAAAGAACAATGAGAAGTGGAAAATGAAGCAGGGATTTACTCATTCCTAATTGTAGTTGAATCTAACAGCAATTTAGATGACTCGTTTGAACGGGGTAAGTCATTCGAACGAGATGGGTCAATCGAAATAATAATAACGAAATAATAAGTGGTATACATGTGTAACAAAATAGTGAGTCGTTTTAAAGAATGACAAGTATTTTACAAAAACAGAAATACGCTTCCGTAAAGTATGGAACCATTCCACTGACTTTTGTACATGTTTTATATTTTTTAATGTGAGAAAAAAATATAAAAGTTGTTTCAACGTTCCAAGTGATCCTAACCCGCTTTTGAAAATTCACATTTGTGTAAGCAACCGTTCACATGGATCGAGGCTATAGTAGAAGTATGTAGTGTCCATCAACGAATAGCGTTCAGTCATTTTTTTTCCTCGTGAAATACTTACGAAAATACCTTCATCTGCCTTCAAGAGGGAATTCCGAACAATCTGAACATTCATTGTACAAATTTAAGCTCATTCACACTCACCGGTTGTTCAGTGTTTCAGGTTTTTACGAACACGGTCTTCGCTAATCTCCTCATCGTACCCGGCGTTCTCTCCAAAACTTTAAAAATAACAGTCAGTGACAAAGCCTTCAGAGTGGCAGGATTGCATCTCTGGAAAACACTTCTAGTAGCTTTGAGGGGGCGGAGTACGAGTGTATTTTTAGGCTTTCCATGAAGACCCTCGTTTTCCTAGACTTCATGCACAAAAATTGAATGTTTGTTTTTTTTTCTGAATATTTTTGTTGTTTATTTAACACGTTTGTGTTGGCCTATTGTGCTTGTTTTTATGTTTTTCTGGTAATGAGGTTTAGAGCTGTGAGTTTGGTGTAGCACGGTACCTACTTTGTATTATCATTACATGGACCTAATTTGGGAGAGAGTACAGAATGCAAAATTTGTACGACAAGCCTAGTAGACTCCCAGAAGTCATATTTTATGTAATTTCCACAGAGTAAAGTTTAACGTTTCCTCCTTGACTACAGTTTCATTTTATACAAATCACAGAGACGCAACGTACAAGTCGCCGTCAGAGGTACATTAATTTTGTTACCCTAGATTTATTACGTATTAATGATTATCCACGTCAATATTTTGTACAGTGCGCACGAAAGTTAATAAATTCTAGCACTTTGTAGATCCTCATTAGTGTCATTGTTATCATTTAACAATTTTGTGAGTAATCTGGATACTGCAATTTTTAATAAACATCGTCATTCAGGTTTAGCCCAGTTGCGGTAAAATAATTTCTGCCCACTTTGACCTACATATCAAGCTTAAGTTAATACGGAAGTGGAGTGTCTGAAAAACAAAACCACGATGCAAGATGTGTTCTTAACTCGGTAAAAGTTTACATACATGTTTAATTCACATTTCTGGCTCTATCTCTCTTAATATATGAATTGTCTTTGCTGATTCGCAGTACCTGAGTCTCGATGGATACAGCCTGTCCACTGATGATATGATTAAGCTTGGTGAAGGCAAATATAACATCAAGGTGGGGACATGTGTTCACCATAAATTTAATATCAGCTTGACAGTCTGTGATATGATGGACCGTTAAAACAATGGTAGATGCACATTACCATATGATTGTATATTTAAACGGAAGTTTTCATAGCAGCATTAAACCACATAAAACATTCATCACGTAGAGGATAATTAACACGACAATATAAAATCTGTTACTGTATAAAATAGATTTGGAACGTAAAGAATGTATTATTTTCTTAAATTTTATAAACGTTATTCACCACTCATTTGGGTAAAATATTTATTTAATTTAAATTAATTTAAACCATTATTGAACCTGACAGTATTATAAAATGACACACCTTTTTTTCTCAGTTGACGGACGAAGCATGGGAGAAAGTCACAGCGGCAAGGAATCTACTGGAAAAGATTGTGGAAGAAAACAGAGGTCAGTTTTTACTTTATTTCATGAAGACTCTGTATTCTTTAATCAGTTGATGATACAATTTGTGATAGGAAACTCGAATCTGTAATGTGTACATAGCATCATCGATTCAGCATATTTTGTTTATTGGAGTCAATTCTGGTCATAAACGATTCAACAGTTCAGTGCATGATACCATGCAAAATATTTAAGTGAATTTATAATCAACAAATATATGAAAAAGGATAGCATTTGAACACGTTTGGATTGTCTCACAGGTGTTACTTTAAGCATCCTTCGAATCATATTTTTGTTTCAACCGCAAAATAAAGCGAAGAATGGCTTCGCCATTTTTGTAAATAACATTTGAATATTCTGATTTTCTTGTAGTGGTGTACGGTGTGACAACAGGCTTTGGAAAGTTCTCTACTGTGGTTGTCCCTCCTGAAAAACTCAAGTAGGTGTGCTAAAATGGAAAAAGTAGGATAATGGTTCTGTGGGGTTTCTTAAGACTAATACGAGCCGTTTCGGTTTTTCGTTTAATAATCATAATGCCCCACTGATGAATTTGTACACTGGTTGTTTGAAAATGCATTGAATAGCAGTGATAAACTGAAATTGAACGTAAGTACATTTACTTTGAGCAATATTACAGAGGTTAATAGGTGTCTGTTGCTTTTAATCTGTTAATTACATTACCAGTTATTCAATGCGTTGAACACAAATCAACAATACTGGCAACAGTACAAACTTCATGGTTAAATTTGAGAAACGAAATATGCTCACAATGCTCACAATCTCGCTAAATGTATTTTCTTTCTGACAGTGAGATGCAGGAGAACCTGATCCGCTCTCATGCCGCTGGGGTGGGTGAACCGCTCACCCCTGAACGTACTCGACGCTTGCTGGCCTTACGCATCAATGTGATTGCAAAGGGGCATAGTGGGCTATCTCCTAAGAACCTTAGAAGCATGATCGATGCCTTCAATTGTAAGATTTGTTCTTTATACCATCTCCTCATTATTAACCCCTAGTCCAAATTAATTTAAAATCCTTTCAATAAAATCTACACAAACGTTATGCACGTGAACATAATCACGGGTACAGTTCTGGACTACCCATTTATGCAAGATCATTTTAAAAGTAACTCCTGCGGCACACCAAGGGGGGTGGGGCCTCTATTGTTCAAAGTTCTGCTTCTTTTTAAGGCTAATTTTTTCTTCTTTTTCAGCGTCCTGCTTGCCCTTAGTTCCAGAGAAGGGTACCGTTGGCGCAAGTGGTGATTTGGCTCCCTTGAGTCATCTTGCCCTGGGGATGATGGGAGAAGGCAAGATGTGGAGTCCTCGTACAGGATGGGGTGATGCTAAAACGGTGAGGTCTTCAACCTAATTCAGGTTTTTTCTAGCTTTTAGAAAGTGATTAGCCCCAGTTGTATGTCTTACTGCTTGAGGCACGCACTCAACGTTTGTGACCTTTTTAACTTGCCCAAGCCGAACAGCATTGTTAAACTGTACCGTTTTCAGATTAATTTTTTCAAATGTCAGTAGTTTTTCGCAGTTCGCAAATATTGTCCACAAACTCCAAATCACTAAAAATATTCAGTGCTTATAAGGTAATGCAAGGAGACTTGCTCCCTTCTTCAATTAAGCCTCAATCCAAATAAAGCTGGTGGTATATAATATGACATCTAGATGTTTTCATTTTGTGTTTCTCTCAAACAGATCCTGAAGATGCATGGAGTAGAACCGATTGTACTTGGCCCGAAGGAGGTACACGTAGAAATCTTTCCTTAGATTTGATGTTAATCATCTGATTCTTGCCAGGCCCTGTAGTTGACGCTTGTCTGCCAAACCCTGTCGCACCTAATTTTTGATCGATCAACTGAAAATGATTACAAAGCAATATCACGTGGTCGTTAAACACACGGAAAATGTTAAACGTGAATTTCAGCTTGTGCTTAACTTCGATAAAAATTGTACTGAAAAACTACTGACCGTTGCGATTTCTCTGAAAAGGGTCTTGCGTTGATCAACGGTGCACAGCTGATCACTGCACTCGGCACTGAGGGTAAGTTCTAAGATGGAGTCTTTGTTGTATCTCTCTTTGTAGACGGAGTGCTTTTACATGAACTCTATATTCTAGTCTAGCATTCAGTCTGACAATTCAGCACAGTTGATAAGCTGGGCTTTATGCTGTGCCGTGCATGATTCAAAGCTTGCCAGTAATATGTCATTGTATTTCGCTAGTCAGCCAGGTTTACGATCCTTACTATACGAAAGTATTATGTCAGTATTTTCCGCAGGTGAAATCCAGCCTTCTGCTTGTTTACAGTAATAAGGGAACGCTTGTAGCATGGCAAAGTTTGCTTCAGAGGCCTCGTTCATCAACGGTTGTGTGTTACGCATTGCAAGTACGCATTGGAGGATGTAACTAATTTATGCACCGTATACGTGTTACGTAGTAGGAGGCATGTTTTGGTAAACTGCATCAGTCTCAAGAGCATCAGGCACGTTTGTATGATATGCACACGAACTTGTTTCACCTGATTACTTATTGTGCTCACTTCAATTTTATCACATAATTTGAATTTTCCCAAGACATTTTGATGAAATGAAACATACTAAATCGTCTTTTATTTTAGCCGTTGAGCGAGCAGCAGCTATTGCACGTCAGGCTGATGTTGTTGCCGCTCTGACATTGGATGTTCTGAAAGGAACAAACGCTGCTTTTGATAGTCGTAAGTTCATTATAGTCAGAGAAATAAAGGGCCACAAACCATACAAATCATGAACAACCCTCTCAACAATTATAAACAGAATCTTACACCATTAATGACGGTTGACACCAATTTAGAAAATATTTGGTGTATACATCCATTAAACATAACATTGGCTAGAGACGCCATGCATCACTTTTGAGACTCAAACTCTTTGGCTGCTTGACAATTCTACCATTGGTTGGCAATTCCAATCAGCACGGGGCTCTTCATACGCAAGTTAAATCTCTTTTTTTGTATACAGAAATCCATGCAGCAAGACCCCACAAGGGTCAAATGCTAGTGGCCAGCAACCTACGTTCTCTGCTGGCTTCAGATGTCCACCCCTCCCAAATTTTTGACCAACTGTGTGACCGTGTGCAAGATGCATACACTCTGCGTTGCTGTCCGCAGGTATATAGAGATGAACTGACTAGACACAATTTTGTGGCACTGCAGATGATCAGCCTGTCAAATACATAATTTAACACATAGGCACGAAGTACAGTATTTTCTGCAGCAACACCTGATCTTTTTTAGTCTCAGGCATCGATTCCCTTAAGATTAAACGACATCTGTGGACTTTTCTTCCCAAAGCCTTTAACCGGATCAGGCAAAATCAGCCAAAATGCAATAATAAAAAGGCGTTGGTACCACGTTGCTCTAAGTAATTTGGGATGCAATACAGTTATTGCTCTAAGTGATTTGGGATGCGTTACAGTCATTGCTCTAAGTGATTTGGGATGCGTTACAGTTATTGCTCTAAGTGATTTGGGATGCGTTACAGTTATTGCTCTAAGTGATTTGGGATGCGTTACAGTTATTGCTCTAAGTGATTTGGGATGCGTTACAGTTATTGTGTCGACAGCTAACTGGTTAAAGTTTTTCCGTTTGTTTATCCAATTTACACAGCCACCTAGCGAAAAACAAATTGAATATTCCATGCCTCGTACGTGTGCTAAACATCTTTACAATCAGTATATATTAAACCATTTGCTTTGCTCAGGTTCATGGTATTGTCAACGACACCATTGAGTTTGTGCGAGGCGTTTTGACCACCGAACTGAACAGCGCAACTGACAATCCGGTATCTTTGTAAAGGGAAGGGGGATATCAGCGTGACAGTGCTTTTTTCTTATCCCCCTGGGATAAAGTAATTTAGTTCCAGTCTCTGAATTATTTTGCTGCTGTGATGTCGTCTTGCTTAGCAGTACATATATTGAGCAAATCTATTAAATATGTTTATTTAAAGTGGCATTTTCTTTAAACCTTTATTGCTTATTATAATTCTGTGTGTGTCCTTTGGTGCAAACGGCGATTCAGATGCAATGGAAGACAACAATTATTATTTACGAGGACTGTTCTTTACTGAAGGGAGAAATTACAAACATTTTGTTCTTTAGTATTGCACAAATTAGCTGAAAATTGACATGAGGCCATTGTGTTGCTGTGTTTAAATGAAACAGATTGTCCAAATATTAATGTTAATTTTTGTGGCTTTAAATTTCAAAGAGAAAATTCGACTCTTCTAACACTTCTTATCGGTTGTTGACTATGTAGATGGTATTTGCTGACCGCCAAAAAACCATTTCTTGTGGGAACTTTCACGGGGAGTACCCTGCCAAGGTTTGTACAAATAGCAAATTGTATCTTCTTTTTCCTCAACACAATCAGCTCAGACAAATTGAAAAATAGTGATAGATGTTTTCCCATTTTTAATGGAAATTCATACCAGCTTATAAAGTCAATGTTCTGAGGCCTCTGAATGAGACAGGTGTGCACACAAATGTATCATATTTGTCCATAATACTATGGAGGAAACATATGCGAGGATTGTTGATAATGGGTTCCAGTCTGAAACAAGGATGTTCATTTTTTGCCATTCTACGATCGTATGTTGGACAGAAGTGACCAACATTGAAAAATGCTGACAGGTGCTGGCAGGTGCCCTGTAATTTGCACGGATGGCCAATGATGTCTACGGATTTTTGGAAATACAAAATGAAAACCAGATTTTAAAAATGTCATTTTTTCAGTTTACTTTAAGAGTCAACGAATTTGCCTCACACAGAAAGTTCTGAAAGAACACAACAAAGTTCGAGAGGAATTTCACTTTCTTAGTGCTGCACAAAACTGCACACACCGTGTTTATGATTTTGATCGGTCTGTTATCACAGGTGCTGGACTATCTGGCCATCGGCGTCAGTGAACTGGCATGCATCAGTGAACGCCGAACTGAGCGACTTGTTAATCCATGTATGTAGTTCACAGGTCATTACCCGTGAAGGTTATTTGTAGGTTTTAAAACAGAGGCCAGGAGTTACAGACACTGAAGGCCATAACACGAGCCAATATCATTTCAAACAAGTAAAACTTGTCTTAATTAACATGGTTCGTAAAAGATGGAGCATTATGGCACTATTTCATTTTAGTGAGTGGATTTCAAAACAGAAAAGTTGGTATTTTGAAGCGTGTATCCTGCATACCTGCATCATGGGAAGAAATCTCAGCTTTTAATAAGATGTTGCGAACGAGGCTCCATTATTAGTCCTTCTGTATCTTACAATGATAAAAGTATGTAAATAATATGGATTTTTTTCTTGCATTTTCCGTGGAACTGCTCGTCAGTATTGGAGGTCTGATCATGCTCTATAGGAAGGAACTTTGAAGTTGACTCTGAAATTCAAGGTTCCTTCATAAGATGGTAAATGTGTGGTAGTGCTTTGCATGTCTTTTTAAAATGAAAAATAAAGATTGTTAGTTGGAATCTTAGACCTCCAACCTCAGGAAGAGATTGATGTGTTTCCTCTGTATTCACAAAAGGGCCTATACTAAACTGTGAATCGATCTTTTCTAATCTTCAACAGGTTGAGGACGTAAGCTTTCCCATTAACCGCAGAAAAGCCCAGAGGTTTCACAACATGTTTGTATGATTATTCTAACTTCTGTTGTGTTTTTTAACCTCTTTTTCCTTTGGATGTAGCACTGAGTGAACTGCCAGCGTTTCTGGTGAATGACGGTGGGAATAACTCCGGCTTCATGATCGCTCACTGCACGGCAGCTGCTCTGGGTAAATGCGGACACCATGATTACATCCATAAATTGTCATATACAGATATGAGCAGACTAAGCGGTGGGGAATACAGATGAAATTCAATTTCTAAAAACCTGTCGACCGTGCAAAATTCCCAAACTGGGGGTTGGTATTGACCTTTATCGAAGATTACAGGGCGCCGTTTATTATACATTTTATGTGATATTAAGTTATTCTTAAATTTTTACTTTCAAACATCTAAACACTCCACAAAAATTTAAATAGACCAAAAGAAAAATAGTTAATTATAGGTGTGAGTAGTTTAAGTCAACATGCTAAAAAGACACGTGTTAGCAGTATTTATAAAGTTCCAGATTGGGCAATATTTCTCAAGAAAACTAGCCTTTTTCCCAAAGAAGATGGCTGTAAACAGTAAAAGCATCATATGCTATACCTGGCTTTGGACAGATGGTGGGATGGATAAGTGTTACTGTATAGTAACCCTGACTCCTAGGTTGTACGTAAACTCATTTTAAAAGAGAAGGATTTGGGACTGTTACGGTCAACTTTAAAGTTTGAATATTAGGTAAAGTGTAAACCCATATCAGGTCTTTGAGGTACTTCGGGGCCGACTTACCATAATGGATGAGATTGAAAAGGATTCAACCCGTTAATCTAACCAGAACCCAGTGCAGTACAAGTATGGGTGTCCTGTCTACACAATGATCCATTATTCTACCATAACAACCAGTCATGCAGCAACATTCTAAATATGCTTGATTCAAAGCGATGACAAAAAAATAATAAAGTGACAATCATACACTCTAAAATAAACTGCTTTGATAAAAATCTCTGCTTTGAAGTAAATCCTTCCCTTTCCTTGTCGTTATTCTTTGACCAGTGTCTGAAAACAAAGTTCTGACTCATCCAGCGTCTGTTGACTCACTGCCAACCAGTGCAAACCAGGAAGATCATGTTAGCATGGGAGGATTCTCTGCCAGAAAATGCCTGACTGTAGTTGAGCATGTGGAACAAAGTAAGCTTTACCAAAAGCACCCTTTACAATTCGACTGAAACGCGTGACTAAAGTGTGATCTTGAGTCCCACGGAATTTAGTCCAAATTTCAAGCAACAAATGATTCAGAATAATTACAAAGCTACATGAAATTTGAGGTCATAATGCTATGCGATAAAGTCACATGATATGAGAACTACCACCACGGGGGTGGGGTAGAGTGGAGGAGGGAAGGGCGACGCTAATGTCGCAATCCTACCGAGCGACAGTTATCGTGCTGTTCTATCTTGTACATGTACATGTTCATTGTAGGCCTAATTCTCTTCGCAGTTATGAGCATCGAGACACTCTGTGACAACTGGGCAAGTTTCAATTTTTGGACAATCGAACGAAAGCTCTTAGACTTTACTTTTAATAGATTTTAAACGTAGGCGCTTTGTAAGTTGATAATGTTAAATAACGCCCCCTCTCGAAGTCTTTTTTTTTGTGCGTTTACTGGACAAACTCCAACTTTAACTAAAAACAGCCCATTTTTCTTTTTAAGCTCTGGCCATCGAGTTGTTGGCAGCGTGCCAAGGCATTGAGTTCCATCGTCCGCTGAAAACTACAGCTCCATTGGAGGAAGTCTACCAACTTGTTCGCTCTGTAGTGGCGTAAGTCTTACTTCTCCTTGACTTGATCTTAGTGGAATAATGTCGTGTTTTGATGCTCTGAGGCAAACTTGGCGAACAGGAGTTGTATCATAGCATTGTTAGAGACTACTTACAAGAGCTTACAAGATATACTCCAAACAGCTTTGCAGCGTTTCATTACGGTTATGTTATGGGCTGTCTAAGCGTGGCAGGATTGTGCCCAAGCATGGCCAGCAAAATGACGCTAAAATATGATTGCCAACAGACTGAATCCATACCAGATTTCAGCTTGAATCTAATAATCTGGTTATTTTTTCACTGTCTTTACACACAGACCCTGGGACAAGGATCGCTACATGGCCCCAGACATTGAAGCAGCAACTAAGCTCCTGAGGGAAGAGAAGGTGTGTAGGCCCAAAATGCAAGATCCTATACTTTCGGTTTGGTCTTGTAATTACGCGTGACATCTTTAATATTTAAAAGCTTTTTTAAGGAAAAGGTCAAAATTAAATCATGTTGGTATTTTTTGGATAGCTTTTCAATGCCCTGTGCACTGTAACGAAGAATCTTTGCCAATTATAGCAGCAATTCACTTGAAAATATTTTACGAAATAACCAGAAATTAAACCATAATACTTGGTCTGTGTGATTCTATGATGAAGTCTTTGAGTTCTGTGCTTCTAGGGTTAGCACAGCGTTTGTGTACTTTTCAGATGTTAATTAATTGGCAGTTACTAGCACTATAGCACAATAAGTACACAAGGTTGCATCTACCAGAGCCATGACTCAGGGTCCAGATATGTTGTAAAAACATGACCGTTGTACAGTCATATATGTACAGCCAACTGGGCACTAAAACAGTAAGCCTTCTTGGGTAAACATGGCCTATGCCTTTGTGAGAAATGGAGTTCACCTGCGAAAATTGGTTTTCTGACTTCCACTCAGACTTTTAAAAACTATAGACCTACATGAATTGTGTGCTCCTACTCTATCAGGCTACACAAAGAGAACATACGAGAAAAATACCAGTATTGGGTCAGAGAACAATTATGGTAAATGCATTTTTGCATTTATTTTGAATTATTTTAAAGGTGTGGAAAGCAGTCAAACCTTACATGGACAACTACCATGCAGAGCGACAGAAGGCAGCAAGGATTTCGTCATCGCCAGTATCTTAGGGAAATGGCGGTACCACAACACTTAAGTGTTTCAAGTGAAGTACAGGACGACTCCTTACAAAAGGGTTGTTCAGAGTCCTCTCTTAAACCTTGAGAGGGCCAGTTAGGATCACATAGTATACAAGAAGATGCATGCTTTAATCAACTATTGTTACGTGATAAATATGATGTAAAAAAATGTGGCTTTTGTGGTAGATATTCGAAATGTGAATGTTCACACAGTAAAGTTACTCCGAACAGTTTTCATTAGATAATCGTTTATTTCATACCTACATAAAGATACATATTTAGTGATACCCAGAAAAAGTGATGTAACATATAATAGGAAATGATAGAAGAGGCACTGCGAATGGAGTTGCATCTGATTCTCACCTTAGTCCAACCATCGTGATGTAATGGCACAGCTAACGATTAGTAGTTGATTTCACAAGCTGACAGCTGTCCCAAGGCGGTTTTTACGCGTCTTTTCAAGACAATTGAAGTCAGTCATGGATGACCAGAAACATGCCTCCGAGTTATCAGTGGAAAGCTTGTTACCCTTATAGTCCCTGCTAAAGCTGTAATAATGGTCATAGTGCGCCTATAGCTTAATTTGCGAATGCCTGTTTCCTTTTTGGGGATACCCCGTATAATGGTACTCTGCATGACTACTTGCACAAGTAATGCGTTTATGCTGACAGGCAGTCTCAATACAATGTTATGTACATTTCGTCTGTAGTGTGATAGATTTAAATCATACGATCTCACACTAAAATTAAATAGTTGAATTGAATTTGACCGAAGTGTTATGGGCGTACAAAATGTTTTAATTCTCAAAAGATTCATTCTTTTATTTTAGTAATGCAATTATCTTTGTAAACATTTATTACAACTTCAATCAATTTTGCTTTTATTTAGAAGTAAGTCTTGACTCATTGTGTTGAAGGTTTTCTTTTAGAAAAATTCCGCGAGAAATATCGTGGGTAGCGCTTTAATAATAGCACCAATCGATGCTATTGTAAGCACGATGAATGCATTTGCATCACTTAACATAAGTATCTTATACCCGAAAACTCCTTGATAGAAGCAAAAAAATATTTGCTAAAGATGAAATAATACGACCAAATTCCTTTGAAATAGAATTGGTTATAATTCGGGACCAAATCTATATATATTCTTAAATTTGGAAACAATTTCAATCATTCTTACGGGTCAGTAGAACTGGTGATAATTGTTTAGTGGGAAATAAGCCAAATTAATATCCACATTCATAACAAAGGCTTAACTGCCTGACGCTAAAATTTTTCCAATGTTACAAAATTGATACAACCTTGTGTACGATGAGTTATCATGTTATTCAAAATGATTCCCGGAAGTGTGTTTAGGACTACGTTTAATCATAGAGTTGAAAACACTGTCGCATATTGGAAAATTTGCCCTTATATAGAGGTGTAGCTTAGCCAAGCTCTATTATAACTTGCGGTAAGCTTGTAAAGTTTCGTTTAGTGTCATATGATTGTGATATTTCCGTAGTTAGTCGTGGAGCTCCGAGTAAGCGTCCTCGAGAGGGTTAAATCTTGCTCAGTGTGAAATGCCACTGTTAAAAGAAGTTAATTGATAATAATAATAATAAATAGTAATAATACTAGTAGGCATCATAATAATGGTGCTAACTTGGAAAAAAAGGAATTTCATCTATAATTGTACGTTTTTAGAATAAAATAGAAGATTCCTAATTAAAAACATTACACCTGTATGAGGAAAGATACTTCTGAGTGGTTTCTCAACTTGGGTGAGTGCCATTACGATCAAAAACAAAGCTGTCCGTTATATGTACGTTATTACTTTATTGCGAACGACTGTGCCAGCCCTGAATCTGTTGCTTCTGAACCATTTTTTTAGACCACTTAGAAGAAATGAAACCCGAACGGTTGAGATCCCTTTTATTGTCGAAAATGTAGAAAATTAAGATTATAAATGAAGTAAATCAGCATCAACCCTTTAGCTCACTGTATTCAAATCCAGAAAATTGCCTTGTGGGTTATGCGCCCAGGGAAGTGAAAAAAATCCGGTGAGGGGAAAA